ATATAAAACAGACTCCAGTTTTGATGAATTGTTTCCATTTCTTCATAAGTTAAGTGTACATACAGTATATTGTTTGCATTAATAATTTAAATTAAAGGTATCAAATAAATGGAATTTCAATTGCTGGACTCGGGTCATGCCACGTTGTGTCCAACACCATAAGTAGTACCAAAAAATGTATCCGCCCTTTAAAATTTTGCACCACCCTTTGAATTTTGTGGAAATTTTCTGAAATTCCACCACACTTAAAAAAAATCCTGGCGATAGGGCTGACAGTAGATGGAGGTAGTCCGGTATGACTATGTAAAATGAAACACTGGTAGCACTATACTACAGTATATAGTATTTTGATGATATAGATTCTACATGGAAGCTCCGGTTAGATGGGATGTCGTTTCAGGCATGGACCAAGTCCTAGACCCATACGACTGCTGTTGGGCAGGCGGTACAGATAACATTTAGTTCTGAAGGCAAGATAAGTTTCATGGTAGGCACAAATATTATTTTTCCAATCCTGGATTCATTTTCAAAGTGGTTACATGAACCTGCTACTTGCTGATACAGTATTATTAGTTTTTGAAATACATAAACATTTTTTTAAGTAGAAAATTCAGAAAATAATTAGTATTTTAATTTATTTTTATTATTCCTATTGCTTGTAAATTCCAAATAAAGAAATCTTTATTTCTTCCACAAATACATAATGCATTTATCAATCCCCTTAACTATTTTCATTAACATCATCGCATTCTTTTCGACTATGCGTTAGGATCCAGAAAAAAGGCCTAGTGTACGTCTTTTCTAATATTTTTTTTACCTCACATTCACAGATTTTATATTTATCAATAACGTTAATTTCTTTTTTCTGCCTAGATTCTTTTTATTGCTTAACACGTTGACTGTCAGACCTTTTTTTAGCTTTTGTCCTCTTGCCAAAACAAGCATACAAGCAAGCATACTTTCTTGAAAAGTTATCAAGGTCACATATCATCAAAATGATGTGTCTAATAAATTAGCGGGAAAATAATATGTGACGAATAAACTCTTCGCTGTAAATGAGACCGTACTTTCTGTTGCCTCTGCCAAGTTTAAGTTTTCGTGTTCTCTTTTTGGATAGGTTGTGTTCAGAGGGCATGCCCTCACTTGTGCAATCTTCTGTACTGCTGGCAACATAAACGTAACAAGCATACATGCGTTATTTGTACGTTATCGTTTAGGTGTCTTCCACGAACTACCAGCTGCAAAGTCTGTGGTTCTACAATGTAAAACAATGAAGTAATAAACGCTAGAATGTTTCCCTGGGTTTGACGAGTACAGTCGTCCCTAGCACCCTCAACAACACTCTGTGAGATGAATATAATCCTCATCGCTGGCAGCGAACGTGTTAATGAGAAAACAAAATTAAATGATTTTCTGCTTTCTGTGATTTTCTTTAAAAAATAATGTTCACTAACAATGTAATCAAAAAGTCTCGGGTTACTTTCATATTAGCAATAAACAAACTTCGTATGTACAGTGCTTTATGCAAATTAGCACAGCTTTGAATAAGCATTGAGTATTAATATAAAAAAATAAAATATATATAATAAAATACATGGGAAGTGTTTGTAATGTGCCATAAATCCTTGAATAAGCGGTGCACTCAAATTTAAGTGTTGCATCAAACATTTTTTTTTGCTAAGCACAGCTCTTGAATAAGAGCTGCAGCACTTATTAGAGATTATTCTAATAATAATTAATCAAGAGTACATGTTACCCTGTGTGTAATGAAGCACTTTTGGAAAACAGGGTTTTTTATGAATTATAAAAAATATATTGAATTTGATTCATGTCGATTAGTATTACAAGGCTGCTTTTGTGGAGCATACTCATATTCACCTATTTCATAACCGTTATTTGTTTGCCGCCGATTTACTCTTTTCCTGTATATGTAACAAAGGCAAAAAACACACAAGAGGATGATTGATGGAATGACAGTGATTGTAATAATCAAGGAAAAACTCTTGTCATCAGGACCCTCAGTTGGTGTTGGGTCTGAGTCACAGTAGGAAAGTGTGTCTGTTTCTAAATTACAAGTTCCCTTTTCCCGATCATTTTGTGTGGTTTTACACTGAAATATGGCGCCCAAATCATCTTCTTCAAGAATGAATGTATAATTCACATAGACAAAAGGATGGGTTGTTCCTGATTGTAAGCTTTTAACGTCTTCTCCATTTCTAGTCCATTGTAGATTGACTCTTGGCACACCAGGTTCAGAATAACAAGAGATAGTTACACTTGAGCTGATGAACTCAGATGGATGTTGCATGTTTGACAGATTGGATACATAGATAATGGAGGATAGCGAGCCTCCAGGATGACACCTCTTGATACCTGCACTGCCTTACCTGTAACCTTCGAAATTATTTCACAAGTGTAATTGTTACCATTAAGCAGACCACCAAGATCACGACCTCTCACTTGTGTTATTAATACTTCATTATAGTTTCTGTGAAATGAGTAAGCCTCTGCCTCTCTACCCAGATTATTGTTTATCAGCGTGCCATCCCTGTAAATGGCTGTCCTATCACCTGTTTTTGTTGTTCTATACCAATAGATTGAGTATTCATTAGTTAGGTCCTTCACTTCACAGGAGAGATAAACATGTCTTCTTTCATTTATTTTATGATTTCCAACAGAAACCTCTCCAAATTTTGGAGTGCCTTGGCCAGGAAGAACCAGGGATAGGCATAAGATTCCAATACTGTACAACATCTTGAGTCCAAACTGCATTTTTTTAATAGTCAAATGTTTCTCTTTTAGAAACTAGTTTTCAGGAGTTCAATATTCATTCACGAAGGTTATAGCTCCATTTGAAGGTAAAATGTATTTCCTTGTCAATTTGTTACAGAATGGCTACAGGATCTATTTATTTGTTACAGTTTGTTGCATTTGAAAAATTGGCATAACGATTGGTAAAAGATATTTCTATGAATCCAGGAAAAACAAAAATGAAAACATTAAACTGCCCAATTAAAAGATCAAATAAAATATTGCGTCACACAAAATCTCTCAGAAGTGGTACAGGGGTGGAGCACCGAAAACTATGATAAGGATTTCAGAGTCCAAAGAGTTTTAGAGTCTACTAATATCACCTAAGAATTGTGATTTTTCTCACCGACGGAGTGCCCTGGTCCTGGCCCCCTGCTGCACCACCCATGACTAAATAAATACAAGAAGTAAATCTAAAAATACTTCAGTCGTGTATAAGTGCAAAGTGAATCTAGTTTTATTTATTTTCAAACTTTCAAAA